CTTGAGGTCAGGGTAGTAATTTATTGGATGCCATTCAAGAATTTGAAACTTTTCTATGAGTTAATTTTTCACATCTTGTTTGGATCCTTAGAGCTCTTAATTCCAAAAACAAGACCATCAGATCTCTCCTTGCACATATTATTCTTGTTGACGTGCCAGGCATGCAGAAAAGTAAGGTCCTCTCTTCTTGGATGGGGAATGATGATTTCTTCCCAAAAAATCTGTATTTCAAAATATTACATAGCCTACTGAGATTTTGGATAGTTCTCTTCTCTTTCATGCTCTATTAGCTGTATCAGTGGTTGCAAACGGCAACAAACATGGGCTGGTTGATTTAAGCAGAAAAGGAATTTATGGGAAGGATATGAGCTGGTTCGGAGCACAGGCAGGCAGCTGAAGAAGCATCATCACAGGAAACGAGGAAGGCAAGGCTGAGCTCAGGATGCCACCTCGGGGCTCTCAAGCCTCTGTGGCCACCTCAGGTGATCTCAGAGGGCCCCCGTGTCTTTGTGCAACCCTCAAAATTCATGACCCCAGTTAGGCGCATCTGATCACCATGCTGAGGCCATTGGACCACCCTTAGACCACATGACTGCACTTAGGTGCCCACACTTTAGCAACCGAGACGGGGGCAGGCCTGCCCCTCTGTCTTCTGATGTGCCCCTCCCACTCACCTTGAGATTTCCCCCAAACAGGAAGGAGTCGGGGTGCTGAGTGGCCAAAAATAGTAACTGTCCATTACACAAACCTCATGCTCTTAATACAGCTCCCATTAATTGGTTGGCCCATCAAAGATTGGCCACCAACGTGAATTTATTTTGTCCAAATCTCACGTCACATCATAATTGTCAGTCTCATGCGCATCATCATCATCGTGATCCTCCTCATCCCCATCCATCATCCCAGTCTTTCTCTTCCCCATCATCCTCCCTATCCCCATCATCCTCATCCTCCCTATCCCCATCCTTTTCATCCCCATCATCCCAGTCTTCCTCTTCCCCATCATCTTCCCTATCCCCATCATCCTCATCATCCCTATCCCCATCCTCCTCATCCCCATCCATCATCCCAGTCTTCCTCTTCCCCATCATCCTCCCTATCCCCATCCTTCTCATCCCCATCATCCCAGTCTTCCTCTTCCCCATCATCCTCCTCCTCCCTATCCCCATCATTCTCACCTCCATCATCCCCATTATCCTCATCCCCATCATCATCATCCCCATCATCATCGCACTGTCTGAGGCTGCCATTTCCCTCCTTCTCCTCCCTCAGACTTACCTCCTCCTCTTCTCCCTTCCCAACCTGTGATGTAGTTTTCTTTCACTGGAAAATGGAGGCAATCACAAGGGAACCTCCTTTTGTTCCTAACACCCACCTGCTAATGCACCTGTGCCATGTGCTCCACTTTCTCACCTCATACCAGCTGATACCAGCCCCTCCGTTAGTTCAACAGGCCATTTGGCAATTGTCCTGTCATGTGATCATTAATTGTTCTCTGTCTAGTAGATCCTTCCCGTTATCATACAACTAGACTATGATAACTTCCATCTTAAAAAAAAAGTCCCCGTGAGCCCACTTCTCCTACCAGCTATCATCCTATTTCTCTCCATCCCATTTACAGAAAAATTTCTCCAAATAGTTTACTCACTATTTCCATTTAGTCTCCTCCTATAGCTCTAAAACCAATTCCAGTCAAGCTTTCATCCCTACCACTCTTCTTAAACAGTTCTTATCAAGATCACCAGTGACTTTCAGATGGCTAATTCCAATGGCCAGTTCTCATTCTTCATGTTATTTTGACCTGTGTGCCACATTTGACAAAATTGATTGCTCTTTCCTTGAAAGATGTCTTCTGTGGCCACTTAGGTTCCTTCTCTCTTTGTTTTCCTCCTATCTCCCTTGCCACTCTTTTTCAATCTCCTTTGCTAGCTCTTCCTCATCTTCAACTCCTAAGTGTACGACCTCTTCTCTACCTACACACGTTCCCTAGTAATCTAGTCCATCCCAAATGTGTATCTTTAGCCCAGACTCCCTCTTTCCACTTCAGACTTATGTCTCAACATCTTAAAAATCCAATAGGTATTTGGATTTTCTCTGCTGGATCTTCTATTACCCATGGTCCTTCTCATCTTCATAAATGACAATTCTTCCCTTCCAGTTGTTGAATCTAAAATCTTTGGAGCCATTCTTGACTCCCCTCTTTCCCTAACATTTCTCAGCCAATCCATGAGCAAAATCTGTTGGCATAAACTTTGAAACATATCCAGGATATGACTTTTCACTACTTCAGCTTCTACCACCATGGTCGGGTCTGCCATCTTCTCAAGCCTGGATTATTATAGGCGCTTCCTAACTAGGCTTTCTGCTTTCTCCTCAGCACTCACTCCACAGACTGTTTACATCATAGCCAGTGTGAGCCTTTAAATGTGAGTCAGGTCACAGCACTCCTCCACTCAGAGCCCCGCTGGGGTACCACCTCAGAATCAAACTAAGGTCCTTCTGATAACCCAAAATGCCCTACGTGATCTGCTTGCCCTGACTGCCTTCATCTCTCTAAGCCCATTTCTTCCCACATTCCCCCTCACTCATTCCTCTCAGCCTCACTGGCCTCCTTGCCAGCCCTTGAATATGCCACGTACGACTTTCCCTTTGCTAGTTTCCAGATATCTTTTTATCTTGCTCCGTCATCAGTGAAGCTTCCCTGACCACCCTATTTAAAAAAAAAACAAAAAAACACAAAACAACTAATGGTTTATTTCTTGAATATTCTTTTTTGAAAAAATAGTTTTTATTAAAATACAGCTAACATACAATATTATATTAGTTGTAGGTGTACACCCTAGTGGTTAGACATTTATGTAATTTATGAAGTGATCCCCCTGACTAGTCTAGTACCACCCTGGCACTATACATAGTTATTACAATATTATTGACTGTATTCTTTATACTATGCCCTACATCCTCATGACTACTTTTAACAACCAATTTGTACTTCTTAATCTCGTCCCTTTTTTCACCCTGCCCTGCAACTCCCTCCCATCTGGCAACCATCAAAATATTCTCTGTATCTATGTTTGTTTCTGTTTTGTTTGCTTTTTGATTTTGTTCTTTAGATTCCACATGTAAGTAAAATCTCATTGCTCAAAACCTCTGTCTTTCTCTGATGTACTCCACTCAGCACAGTACTCTCCAGGTCCATCCATTCCGCCACGGATGGCAAGAACCCATTCCCTTCCATGGCCGAGCAACTTCCATTGTATGTAGGTATTACCTCCTCTTTATCCATTCTTCAATCCACAGGCACGCAGGCTGCCTCCACATCTTGGCCATTATAAACAGTGCTGTGGTGGACATATGGATGTACACATCCCGTCAAAGTAGCATTCTGGGTTTCTTCAGATAAATACCCAGTAGGATTACTTGGTCCTTCTTTGTCTCTTGTTATAGCCTTTGTTTTAAAGTCTATTTTTGCCTGGCATAGGTAAAGCTAACCAGCTTTTTTGTTGTTTCAGTTTTCATGAGATATCTTTTTCCATCTCTTTACTTTCAGTTGTGTGTGTCTTTCGATCTGAGGTGAGTCTCTTGTAGGCAGCATATGTGGCTCTTGTTTTCTTATCCAGTCTTTTGATTGGAGCATTTAATCCATTTACATTGAAATTAATTGTTGATAGATATGTAGTTATTGCCATTTTATTATTCATCTTTTGTTTTCTGTTCTGATGGGGTGTTTTCTGTTACCTAATCTTCTAAATCACTGGTTTGAGCCTCTGCTTCATCTAATCTGTTGATTCCCTCTAATGCATTATTCATTTCAGTTACTGTAGTCTTTATTTCTGACCGGTTCTTTTTTATGTTTTCTATCTCCATTCTTGTGTTTCCTATCTCTTTGTTGAAGTTCTCCCTAAGATCGTTGAGCATCCTTATAACCAGTGTTTTGAACTCTGTATCTGGTAGATTGCTTGTCTCCATTTTGTTTAGCTGTTTTTCTGGAGCTTTTATTCGGGACATGTTTATTTGTCTCCCCATTTTGTCTGCCTCCCTGTTTTTGTTTCTAAGTATTAGGTAGGGCAGCTATGTCTCCCAGTAGTAGAGTGGCCTTATGTAGTACATGTCCTGTGGGGCTCAGTGGAGCAGTCCTCCTGGTCACCTGAGCTGCACACTTGTAGGTATGTCCCTTGTGTATGTTGTTTGTGCCCTCCTATTGTAGTTGAGCCTTGGTTGCTGTTTGTACATCAATGCAATGGATTGATCCTTGGGCTGGTTGGCTGTGACTACAGTGGAGGAGCTGTTGTGCAGGGGCTGTCTCTATGGAGCAGAATTCACTTTAGCAGGGCTCTGGTGCCTGCTCAGTCTGTCCTTTGGGTGTGTCATCCTTGAGGTGGCTGGGTGATGGTCCAGCTCAGTCTGGAAATGGTCTCCAGGCAATTGACCACCCTATTTAAAATTGCAACCCACTCTCTATCCAAATCTGGCTTTCTCTATCTCTCTTACCCTTTGTACGTTGTCTCCATAGCTCTAATCACAATGTGACCTGTGGGTTTGCTTCTTTATGTCTGTGTTTTCTGTTTTCCTTGAAGCTACAAGAAGGCAAGAACTCTGTTTAGTTTTCTGCTCTTTCCCTAGCACATAGAGTGGTAGTGATGGGCCGGTAGGAGGTGCTCAAAAATATTTGGATGAATTAATATCTGACCAGATTCCATGTCTCATTTATTAAATGTCTTATAATTTTCCAAGTTTTATGTACTAGATTTCTTGTGAGCCACAGCACAGCTTCGTGAGCTAGGCAACACAGAACCCTCCTGTGCTTAGGTGAAGAAACTGAGGCTTATGGGAGCTAACTAATTGCCTAAGAACACATGGCTAGTTCATGGGGTTCCTGGGACTTGTAGTCCTGATCCTAGTGAAGTTTCTGCCCCTCACCCTCAGCTACCCCATGATGACTCATATTAGTGAAAGCTGAAAGTTTCAGGGCATTAACTGCTGTTTATTTTTTATTGCAGCATTGATGAGAAAACCCCATATCTAGCTTTGGGAGCTGTGAAGAATATCTCCCTAAATATCTCCATCTCCAACCTTGGGGATGATGCCTATGATGCCAACGTGTCCTTCAATGTGTCCCGGGAGCTGTTCTTCATCAATATGTGGCAGAAGGTAAGGAGGGCACTGTCCAAAAAGAGCCTTGGTTCCATCTAGAGCAGCGGTTCTCAACCTGTGGGTCAGCGACCCCTTTGCGGGTCGAATGACCCTTTCACAGGGGTCACCTAAGACCATCAGAAAACAAAAAGATATTTACATTACGATTCATAACAGTAGCAAAATTACAGTTATAGAGTAGCAACGAAAATAATTTTATGGTTGGGGGTCACCACAACATGAGGAACTGTATTAAGGGGTCGTGGCATTAGGAAGGTTGAGAACCGCTGATCTAGTACATTTGCTGACTGTCATTGTAGCTGGGAATACACAGTGATTCTGCAAAGACTATTTTGTTATGTATCACTTGGAACTGTTAGAATTGTTTTTTTTCCTCCTGGACTTAGCAAGCATGTTGGTACAGCCAAAGAAGACGCTGTAAATGAGTGTCAGAGCAGTATTGATATCTTACATTGTCTTCCACTCCTTCTCTCTTGTGGAACTTTCTCCCTACAGTTTTATGTCTGGGCCCCTTCTCTGAGATGGTATAGTCACTATCTCCAGCACACGCTATGTTCCAGAGAGTTCCGTTTTAGGTCAGTAGAAGACATGAGGACAGATCCCTGTTTATCATGCTTGTTATCACTAATGATGCACTTGTTGTTTTCCATTAGAGGGTTATGTACATCAGCATAGGCTTTGGCCTGTTTATTTATTCCTGACATATTTGAGTGAATTGAGGAAATTATTTCCATGAATTGAGTGTGTTTTTTGGAGGGAATTAATTTGTTTGAGTGAGTTGTAGTTTCAATAGCATGACTCGGGAAGAAGGAGCTGCCATTCTCGCCTAGCATGTAATCCACCTCAGTGAACTACCTTTGGGAAGAAAGAACAGGCCTCCCCGTCAGGCAATGGGAGGAATGAGTAGATTTAAACAGACCTCACTCTATCCCCGTGGCTGCTCTCACTGTTGACAGCTGTTCTGATGGGAATTTTTGCAGCTTTTTATAGAATTTACAGCCTTGAACTGTAGTGCCTTGATGTCGGTGTTAAAATGGAACCAAAACCACTTTCTGAGGAAAACCGTCACCCTGCCCGCAGAGGAGTATACTAGGTGTACCTTTGAACCGGTGGGCAGCCTGATTTCTGTTCAGGCCCATATCCTGTCAGGGTCAGTAGTGTGGACAGGATTGTGTCAACCTTGCCCAGCTTAAGGGGCAACTGAAGCAGAGAGAGCCATCTAGAATGGCAGTGCTCCAAGAACTTTCCAAGAGATCATCTCAGACTCTCTGCTGCTGAATAGTTTCTAGGAGCTCCAGGGTTGGGGGAGGCCCCAAAAGTAATCGAGAAGGACTGTGGGAAGGGCATGCTTTCCATCCACCTTCTACATGCTAAAAATTGTCCCTTGTTTAAGCCCCGTCAAGGGAGAGCCAAGGATAGATAGGGTTCCAATATCTCTGGCTATGCACAGAGTCTCTTTTACAGAATGTCCTAGCTGTGATGCCATCTTCCTATAGGGGTGGTGGAAGTGGGGGAGAGGGTGAGAGAGGGCTTCACAGGAACCAGACCTGTGAAACTCATCTCTATGGTAACGGAAAGGATGTGGTTGGTGACTGGGTCATTACATTGCACAGATTGTTCTCACTTAGGACCCATGGGAGAAATTTCTCTCTGCTCTCAGAATTAGGGATAACTGTGCTTTTTTCTGAACACCGGCTTAGTTTCACCTGTGGACGTAGTCATCCTCATGACTAGGCTTTGTTCTCCCTGTAGTCTGCTAGAACAGAGCTGGCCCCACTCTCAGTATATAGGGACATGGTAGTATTATTTCAAAAACTAGATAGCTTCCTATATCTTACCTCCCTTCACCATGCTTTTCTTTCCAGCTTGGAGACTGTGTAATATTCTATCAAAGGAATTTGTCTGGATTACCTAAAAATTCCTATTAGATATTGATTGTTTCCAGTTTTATTTTCTTTTAAATGATATTGTGATGAATGTCTTTTACAGAGATTAGTGTGAGCAAATGATTCTATCCGTATTCTTATAACTATTTGGGGGATGGGAAATAGCATTTATTGACCACCTACTACACACCAGGGGTTTTACGTGCATTTCCCCATCCCCTCCTTACTGCATGCGATCCGGGGCACCTGTTTTAGTGGAGGAATGCTCCAGGAGAAGAGGAGTGAGGGAAGTAGGATGGGGCAGGGAAAGGGCTGAGTTAGGGTGTGCTGTCATAAAAGCTAGAGTGGCTCTGATTTATAGGGTGGAAAGAGGTAGAGGGGTGCCCTAGAGCACAAATCACTCCGCGGAGCTCTCCCCTCTTGACGTGATGGAGAGCATCATTTCCATCCTTTCATCATTGACCACTGTGTGTGTATGAGGGTGTGATGAGTAGTCTCCCTGGCATTCTGGACAAGGAGGCTGTAGTCAGTCAAGGACGATGCACCTGAAAGACACAGGTAGGTCATTAGCCATTGTAGCTGAACATGGGGAAGCTGAGAACACATCATGTATCTCTTTGCCATCAAATCCCAACAACCTTTAAAACCTTTGGCACAAGGAGTCCTACGTTTTAATTTGGCAGAAAATTGACAAGGTATCAGGGGCTCTTTGGGATGTGGCGAGAAAGGTGGCAGGGCACAGAGACATCACATAGCTGCTGTGGAGGCAAGACCAATTAAAAAAACAGATAGGCAAGGTGACCCGCAGTGTGGCAGAAGAAAGAAAAGAAACAAAAATTGCCCTCTCGTGACTACAACCATGACTGTAACTGGGGATGCAAATGGCATTCACTCAGCCCAGAGCAAGAGTCTAACAGTACCAGGTGGGCACTGAAGGGGAACCCAGAAAGCCCACCCACCCTGCAGTGACCTAACAGAACCAACATGGGCCCTATAAGAAGATTTGAGCACAAACTAAGAAAAGCAGAACTCAAAATACAGAGGGGAAGTGTACCTTTCAAAGAGATTATCCATAGAAATCAAAAGTAAAATTTACAGAGCATCCACTTTTGTTCTTGATGAAGTTCAAGAAAAAATGAGAACAGCAAAAGGTCAGAGGTGGAACAATAGATTGGGATCAAAGTGGAATAGACTGAGAAGGAAGCAAAAGTAAAGGTTGTGGATGGTTTAAGGAAATATTAAAAGGAAACCAAGAAAGCAATGGCAGAATTAAAATATGTGTTATAATCAGGAGAGAGCAGGATTAGCAGTATGCAAAATTGTCTCATTGTCGTACAGGGTGTATTTGAGGGTGTCTCTGAGAATTCAGAGGGGGAAAAATAATATAGCAATGAGGAAGGATGACAGTGAAGACTCCAGATATGGAAGGTGGAGACTGGAAAATCAGCAAAGAGAAATGGATCCAGAATAGTTGGAATAGAAGGCAGAAACAAAGAAAGATCTCCATCTTCTTGAATTGCAAGTTGCAAATTCCAGGCAAAAATATTGAGAACAGTTTCATGTCTACATATAGCTTCATGAAATGTTTACTTTTAAGGATATGAAACTGGTACTACTGACACCTAACAGAAAACAAAGAAGCCTGTTTTCCGCAGACTCCTTTCCTGTACCATTCATATAAAAAATTAGAATCTGTTCCCTTGCGAATTAAGAATTCTATACCCAGCCATCTTGCCCTCCATCGTGAAGGCCAACTAAAGATATCCTGAGATATATGAGAATTCATAGGGTCTGTTAACGCTCGTGGTTTGAATTCCCCCAGAAGCAGACCCTGACACAATGACTTTGGTGCAGGCAGTTTATTTGGGGAGTGATGTCAGGCAGCACGGTGTGGGAGTGGTGAGTTTGGACAGGGAAGGGTTGAAAGATAGGAAAGTGTGCACTGGTGAGCAGGTGACCACTGCGGGGAACTCAGGCTCCGTCCTGCTGCACATCCTCAGAGAGACAGACTCTGTGGAACACACCTTGGAATCATTCCCCTGAGGGGTGAGGACGCTGATGGGGATTTATCCAAAACTGCTGTCACTCATCCACAGAGAATCACTCCAAGGGCCTTAGCTCTCGGGCACTTCCAGCCTTCTCTGACCAGGGGCCACACTTCCTGAGGTGAGCGAACAACTCAGAAGGATGTGGGAAGCCTTTGGCCTGGAAGGGGACTGGCTGCAGGTGACCAACCTTCTGGTTGGTTCTAGGGAATGTGAGCAAGGCTCTGGCAGCATCCGCTGAAATAACCGTGAAAGCTATCATCGCCATGAAACTGTTCCTGAGAAATAGTTATAGATAAAGTCCTCAAGAGTATAGAAGTTGTTGAATAAACAGTGTGTCAAAGCCAAAGAAGCAGACGTAAGCAAAAACAATTTTTATAAGTATTTAAAATACTAAGCAAATGTAACAAAATAATTACTGCCACAGTAAATATATAATTTAAAAGATTAATTTTTAAAAAGCCTACAATATCAGTTATAACAAAAATTTGAAAAGAAATTTAATCTTGTCACTCCTGTTGCTTCACATTCTTCAGAATGGAGTTCAGAGTCCTCAGCTGTTTACAAGAGGCCATTCTGAGCCTGGCCTCCCCTCCCCCCGCCCCCGACTCCCCTAGCCTCATTGTCTACCATCCCTCACATACACACTTGAATCCAGTCATAATTTATTACTGAGGCTGTTTTTACCCTGGAATACCCTCACCCCCATTTTGTTTAATGAACAGTTCTGCCCTCAAATCTCAGCTCAGGTGTCACCTAGGCAGGTGCCTCACACAGCTGCACAGGGGACGTGAGTGGGTGGGTGGGTGGGTGGACCGCCTTCCTCTTGTCCAAAGTCACAAAACAACTCAGGGCCCAGGCCTCCAAGGTCTCCAGCCTTCTCTGTCGTCACACAATTAGTGACATACTAGTTTCTAAGACTGTACAAAAAATATCCCCTGAGATGGATTTTTCTATCCTGTCTAACGCACGGCTGCTTTCATAGATTTATGCTGGTTCTGTCCTCTAAGGGAAGGCTGCTTATAAAAATGTGGTATGCACATGGGTGACCATCTGCTGACTTTTC